CCATAAAAAACCATCTTAAATACTGTACCGCAAATAACAAATTCAGATGGGGGGGTTTTTTTGCGGCCCTATGCTCCACTGGGAGTTTACAGGACTAATAATAATATAAAAAAAAAGTCTGCCCATACTTTTTAGACTTTATACTGCTGTGATGCTTTTTGATTAGCTGGATGTCAACCAGTTGTAATTTATAAACACACTAGTATAACAGCCTGTCAACCATTGTTGAATGAATAACGAAAAGTATAGGATTGAAATAAAATGAATTTGTCTGTACCTTCAAAATGTACCTACTCTTTCACTTATTTCATCAGTCTCGAAGTAATTCTTTAATCACCACATTTTTAGTAAAAACTACGCAGAAAAATTAAATGTTATCGTGAACAAAAGTACGTATGTACCCCGAAAGAGACTTAAACAGCACACTTGAGCCTTTTTACTGTATTCTAGGTCAGGAATTAAAAAACATAGTGCAGACATTCCTACACAAATTTTCAACTTTTTCGACTGTACAAAGGATAAAAGATATTTGGTAGTAATAAACGTTCATTTTCTTTATGTTTTAAGACCAAGTAAGGTAATATATGTGTTTACAAAAAATCAAAGGAATATTTATTAATTAACATTTATTTACCACTTGAAACTTTTTAAACACTGACGTTTGTAATAGTAGGCCTATTTGTAGTCTACTTTAAGCATTAGGCCTAGTACATAAACGTAACGTACGACTTAGCTGAAACATTACTTAGTAAATTTTATTTTGCTTTTGGCTACAACTCAATGTTATAAAACTTCTGTATTAAACTATTTTGCTGTTATATCACTGAAGTTATCAAACCTTTCTAACAAATCAACATGAATATTGAGCATTCAACATAAACACTATAGTTGGCCTAAGAACAATATATTATTTAATCTAAGAACAATCGAATGATAGTTTTGTTGTCAACGAACGATGTATATTGTTGAGCATTAAAAGCGTTCTTGACAGAGTGACAAATAAAATAAGCTTTTTATAGTTAGTGATGAGTGTACTCAAATGTAGTTCATTTTTATACGATAAAGGAGGGTGTATTCTGGTAATATTTGCCTTTTATACTCTTTTAGTTTTTCTCACCGTTTCCATAATTATTTTCAATATATATATATAAGGTTAATGTTTCACCTATTTATGGTCCTAACGTAGTTAGTTATTTAATATTTGGTCACATAATACTTTGTCGTAAATGTAAGTAGCTAAGATTATATATAACATTCGATTAAATATATATTTATCTACAGATATTTCAATTCCGTGTGTACGTAACCAAAGGAATTCATGTATTTTGTGTGTATTATCGTGATGAATTAAAAAAAAAGAAGATAAACCTGTTTTTGTGTCGTGCTCTTTTTTTTTTTTAGGGGGGTATCCACGCAGCTTACGCGCTATTAGTAGCCCATCAGTACAGCCCTTATCTTCATGGTTTGAGTGTTTATAAAGCTCTCTTACAGGAACTTTACAATATTCATGGTTTAATTAGCACTGGAGAACACGATTTGTACATATATG